AGCGGCGAGCCGCCGTGGCTTGCCTGGTGGCGGCGGCGGCAGCAGCAGCTGCTTCAAGACGCTGACTCGAGTATAAGCCGAGGGGGGCATTTTTCAGCCCCAAAAATGGGCTGAAAAACTCGGCTTATACTCGAGTATATACGGTAGATAGATAGATAGATAGATAGATAGATAGATAGATAGATAGATAGATAGATAGATAGATAGATAGATAGATAGATAGATAGATAGATAGATAGATAGATAGTTAATTAGTTAGTTAGTTAGTTAGTTAGTTAGTTTTGGTCATTTGGAAAAATTAGCCTCAGATATGCATAAGTAAATGATTATTTCAGAATTTCTAACAACAGCAAAGATTTTTGTTTGGATAACATTCTCACAAACATTTTACTCACTGAGATTTCTCCAAGATACATATAGTGGGTCCCCAGGTTCTTGGTGAAGATTGATGTTGTCCCATAGTAGCTGTATGTATACTAGCTTGCTGTCTTGAGACAAGTTGGTCAGAGGAAGCTAGAATGGAGGAAGCATACTTTCTTATCACTTTACTACAGATTGAGAATCCTGCCAATGTTTAGCAGCGCCAAAAACACAATGCTAATTTCATTATTCTTCTACAAAAAGGGAACAGATGCCTCAAACAGCTTGTATCGTCCAATTTAAATCAAGCCAAATTAAGGAACAGGAAAAGATTTGTATCAATCTACTGCAAATGAAGGACTCTTTATAAAGCAGGTGGGGAAAGAGCATTTCCTTAGACATACTTTCATAGAGAACAATGTCATAGAGTAAGAACCCACACCCTATATAACTGTACTACTAACCTTAAAGGTTAAATAACTAGTTAAAGCTGCTTTAATGCATTTTGCTTTTGCTTTGTTCTTATTTTATCTTACTTAGTTTTATAAGTAACTGAGGTGGCAAAAATTTATTTATTAGGTTTTTATGTCGGTTTTATTACTTTATAAGCAACTTTATAAGCAAACATATCTAATGCTCCTTCTTATTTCTATTTTTCTCACAACAGTCCTGTGAAGCAAGTTAAGCTGAGAGACAGTGACTGGCCCAAAGTTATACAGCTAGCTTTCATGTCTGAAGTGAAAGGAGAACTCACAGTCTCCTGATTGCCTCAATCACTAAAACGAATTGGCACTCCACTGAGAGCATGGTTAATCCATATCTTCTAAACTTACCCTTAAGCAAATCTTAAAAGGACTAAGGTGTTCTCTCAATATTACTGTTCTCTCTCACTTTGATTTAAGTTTAAGAATCCCAGTCCAGAGTTAACTAATTTTCAGTGCACAAGAAGAAAATATAAAGGTTCCTTTCACTTTATTTCCCACCCCCATTGAAACCAATAGGGAAAAACCTTAATTTTGACCTTTCCATCAATATTTTGAATGGAAAAAGAACATAATGAATCATTTGTTCTGGACAATCCACTTCTGTAAACATATAAGCCTCTCCCGCAACCCTTGGACTGGATTGCCCTCATGCAGCGTTTCACAATTTCAGCAAGTTAAAAATGTATGGCATGCTGGCTGGGGAATTCTGGGAGTTGTCTGCACATCTTAAATTTGCTAAAGTTGAAAAACAATGCTCTAGGGTTATTGAGTAGAGTCATTCTTTTCTCAAGATCATTTCATTTCAGTCAGTGGCATCTCTTAAAATTCATCCCATCAACATATTTGACTCTGAAGTGCAAACGCTTCTCCTGATATATTCATTCAATACTGTCAGTATAGGGCAGTGTTTCTCAACCTTGACAATTTTAAGGCATGTGGACTTCAACTCCCAGAATTCCACAGCCAGCAATGCTGGCTGTGGAATTCTGGGAGTTGAAGTCCACATGCCTTAAAATTGTCAAGGTTGAGAAACATTGGTATAGGGGGTTATTTCCAGAATGAACAAAGAGGAAAGTAATCATTTTAGTTGTTTCTCTTACAAAGAACATGGCTTTCCTCCAAATGTTAACAGTCTGTGTTTGCTTGTGGTGCCAAAGCATCACCTTACCTGCATTCCATCATTGCAGTGTTCAGACGTTAGAATGAGACCGGGCAAGTTACTTGGGAGATCCAGGCGTCGGAAATACCAAACCAAATTCCAGAAAATAATGGGATGCTGATTGATGAACGTTGACGTGTGAATTACTTGTTCTCCTTCGTTCTCCAACAAAGATTCAAGCTCTTTCCGGAGAACCAATGGGCTCAAATAGGGAACAGATACAGGCAAAGGATTTGTCCTTTTTGCTAAGGGATCCTAAAAAAAGCATCAATGACCATTAGTGAGCAAACAATGCTTCATCAATTCTCCCAGCTTTTCTCCCTAACAAAGAATCTCAATAAACCTCTGAGCTGCATTAACAGGGATGGCATATGTACACTATTGTAAACATATACATATCACTATCTTACCCAGTGAGTTATAATACAGAAACAATTTGAGAGATGAGAGAGCTCTGCTTTCCAAAATGAATCATATACAAAATCTATGGAAGCTGCACTACAACTCAGGCAGAATAAACAATAGGAAAAAATAGAAAGTGTCTGAATATCTAGTTCCTGAACATATTACCAGGAAAAACCTTGGTTACTTACCACTGTCTCTTGTAAGCTATTAGGGAGGCTAACGGTTGAAATGCCATGAGATGGTCTTTGCAGAAGATCAATATTTTGCAACGGGCCACCAACACTGTGACTCCGAGTTAGAGAAGTCCCGCGTTTTGATGAGTTATTTGTAACAGGAGGCTTTATGCGTTTGAGATTTTTGTCTTCTTCCTCTGCTGTGCTGAGGCCGAAACACAATGCAAACACTCATGAGTATTAAAGCTAGCAGAATTACCACAAAATATTTCAATGGGCTCCTGGTTCAGTAGTCTGGCCAATCAACCGTGCCTTCTTCCAAGCATTTCTTACTCTGAAATATGCGCAGGGAGGCGAGAGGTATGTGCTGCAGCATTCTGCAAGGGCTTTCTTCCCCTTCCAAAAACTTTATATTTTTACAAATCTAATTGTAGGTTTCTTAGTACTATTTTGACTGCAATACTAGCAGCACTCACCAGCAGCATCCACTATTTACAAGAATGCCTACTGTATTTAATGCACAAAGTGCTTTAAAAAAATTGTGGCTACGGTAACTAAGAGCATTATTACATATTTTATATTATGCGATGAGTGAATCAGATGAACGCTTCATCCTTCCCCAGACCAACACTTTACTGGGTCTTGGCATTTCATTCCCAAATAAGGCCTTTTTTACAAAATGGGGAACGTGATGCCAGTCCAGAGTCTATTTTTAAAAGAAATCTGTTTTTCAATTGAAGCAATAAATTCCTCCCAAGCATAATCATGCAAGAAAATCTCATTTTCTTCCGGTCTGTACCTTTGTGTTGCCGGGTTGCTATTTTCCTCACTGATGGTCTGGTTGGCACTTGAAGGTTCTGAAAAACTGATCAGATCTGTAGTAGGGACGGAGGCAGACTTCGGTTCCAGAGAATCCGTGGTTAGTGGAATGTTAGTGCTGTGTAAACTATCACCAGAGGTACTTGGTTTCAAAAGCAAACTGGTAAGGAAAGAAGCAGGCAGAAACACACAATCACAAACAAGAAAGGAATGTCATCAGCATAATTTTGGCCTTTGTAACACAGGGAGTTCTTGACTTACGGCCCACAATTGAGCCCAACATTTATGTTGTCAAGCGCGACATTTGTTAAGTGAGTTTTGCCCCACATTCTATGACCTTTCTTGTCACAGTTATGAAGTGAATCACTGGAGTTGTTAAATTAGTAACCAAACTGTTAAGTGAATCTAGCTTCCCCATTGACTTTGCTTGTCAGAAGGTTGCAAAAGGGGATTACAAGACCACAGGAGACTGCAACAGTCATAAATAGGCAGTTGCCAAGGATGTGAATTTTGATCACACTACCACAGGGATGCTAGAAGGGGCGTAAGTGTGAAAAATGGTCATAAGTCACTTTTTAGTGCCATTTTAACTTTGAACAGTCACTAAATAAACTTTGTAAGTTGAGGACTACCTGTACTTCCAGCTATTCCAAATTTATCATGAATATCGATTGTTTTTAATTCCTACTGTTAAGTTTTAAGACTAGAGGACTCAATCTGCATTCCACTCTGGTTAAAAATGAGATTTATAGACCAATTTGCCAATAGACATCATAACACATGAACATGTTAAACGGAAGAGAAAACTAAAACGGCTTCATCCTGTAAACAGAAACTTATCCATATCCAACATGTGATTCAGGACAATTTAACTGGCATATCAACTGTTTGTTCAGATGACTACCAAGTTCGCTATCATTTGTAAAGGATGAATTACGAAGGTATGACCATTTAGCAGCAAATTCTACCAACCTTGCAAGACCACGTAAGTCTTTAAATTCCACATTAAGGAGAGGTAAAAAGGCACTTTTGCAAAATGGACATGTAGAATTCAAATTAGAATCATCTGCAGTCCATCCTGCCATAATTTCTTCATCATAAACCAAGGCATCACAGGCTCGACACTGAGAGCAGCTCGACATTAAGACCTATTTAAAAAAAACACAATATTTTCTTTATAAAGACATGAAAATAAACAGGTATTCAAAACTCCAAGTTGTTTTGTTCATCAAAAACCTGCAAAAAGATTCATATTTAACCGGCCTGTCTAGTTTAGCACACTATTTCCACCATGGCTAGCCAGTTTCTTCTTGAAAGATCTCACATGTCTTATGGATACTATAGCACCTTCCTGGAGGAGTGGGTCTTTTAAATCTTTTTCTACTTCACATACTTCAACAGGCAATTAATGTTTTTCCATTTGCATACTATACAGTAGTGGCCAAAATTGTGGAAACCTTTTGGGAAAAGTGTACAGTAGAAATGCCACCTTTGGTTAAGTTTCCACCGATTTTTCTTCTAATTTCTTTATAACTGTAGCCTTGTTCACTTAATAATACTATTTTACATCACTTTCTGGGCGACCAGTCAACTCTTTGCACCATTCCTTTAATTTTATTACGTTTTACAAGCTCACTAAATGAAAGAAAAAAAAACCAACCAACTTGATAGCGATCACATAACACACTGACAAATGTCCTCCTCTCAGCTTCAATACATGACATAAATAACTGAATCCTACTGTGATCTGATTGGCTCATTGCCAAAACAAGATGACACCTAATTGGCTCTCTAAACACTCATGCTCATTGGCTACAATCAGATGAAGGAAAGCTACCTGATATCAACCTAAGCAAGTTGTGCTTCCTTTTTCTGGTTATTTGGCTATAACTTTTCATAGAACACAGTACAGATAATTGAACAAACTTTGTTATATTACATTCTTGATTAAATTATCTTTCCATTGATATATAATTTTATGTTACTACTCCCCCCAAAAAAGTGGTGTTATTAGCCATCAAACCTCAAAAATACACTTTTCCCAAAAGGTTTCCACAATTTTGACCACTACTGTACATATTTGACTCAATCTTTCTCACCTTTGGGCACCAGAGATGTGTAAGACTGCAACTCCCTATCAAAACTTAATCATGACATGTTAAAGCAGTGTATGTATAAACAGCAAATACAGACAGTGTATGTGGATCAGTGGATTGAATGCAAATAATATATGTAAAGGCACAGGTACTTTTAAAAATTATTTAAGTAATAATTCATTTCAAAAACACTAGTCTCCAAAGGAAACAGAAATGTTTTAAGATGTATTATTTTTAAAATGTTCTGATAAAGCAAAATTTTTACTCAAGATTATAAATTTTACCTCCATTGCACAATTTTGGAAGATACTGGATAGACTAGTATTGTACGAAGAGCCATGTTCAGATTTATCAGAATCCAAAGTTTTCACGCCTCGTGAAAATTGATTTTCCCCTGTGTAAAGTAATATGGAACAATTTAAAAATTATTAAATTACATATAAAAAGATAGGGAAAAAAAGACATAATTGCTACATTTAACCACAACTCTTATTACTCCGTTAAGCAATCAATTCCCATTCGGTTCTGAGAAGTTGCTTTTTAAAAACCAAACCTAAAGAATTATTGGGGGGGGGAATTCTATACTCTCCCAGTGATATGGATTCATAATTATTTCCATCACACGAAACTGAATTTTTTTAAAATACCGATGCCACTTCAAATTGGACATATTTTTGCCCATTTCACTCCATACCCCTGTGCTGTACTTTTCACTAATCAACAAGCCAGAATTCATATGGAAAATGGCTGTAAGGCATATTTTGGAGAGTTTTAGAAATTGTGAACACTCCTATATGAACGACTACCAAGTAACACATGCTGCTTTTTCAAGTTGAGAATCCACTGAATAAAAAAGCAACCCTGATGTAACATATCCATTGGCAATCTATAGTGATTAGCCCCCTTTAGTAGAACTTGAATTTTCAAAATGGACAGGATGAAAGAACAATTTTTATGCAATTAGTTGTTTGGGGAGAAAGGAAAAGGAAAAGTTCTCTTTACTAAGTAGCAAATAAGCTTCTTTCAATATATTTTTCTCCCAGACCATGTTTCCCAAAGGCAGAATGTCCCAGTTAATATAAGAAATCCTGGGTATTTCCAGGCAACAGTTTTTAAAATGTTGGACAAACCATTCTACTCAGAAGGAGAAAAACACAGCCAGCCATCTGCTGGGGATATACTAATTTCTGCATGGAGAAGGATAGACTTGATGAGCAATTCAAAGTTTATGGTACCTGTAGGACAATGTGGCTTCCCTACGTCTCCACTGCTGTTGCTGCTTCCAAGACTTGTTGTGCTCTGTGCAAGTTCACTGGTAGCCAGTCCTGGGATTCCTATTTTTGGCGACTGACAGACGCCTAATATATGATCTTCAAAGCCAGCAGGAAAGGTAAAATCGGGATGGGTGGTTTCCTCCTTCAATTAAAAGGTAAAAGACAAATTCAGAATCTTACACTCATGTAAAATGTTCACTATTTAGTTATTATTATTGAAAATGCAAGTGCACCAGCCCTGACATTTCAGAAATGGGTGCGGTTTGCCTTCTTGTTTAATGTGTTTGCAATGAACCTATCAAGAGACAAAGAATAACTGGTTGAAGAAACTTCTGAAATAGATTAAGAGGGGAAATTAAAAAGCCTGAGGGAAGAAACTAATAAAACATATCTTTGGTAGAAAAGGAACAGAATAATATTTAATGCTTTTCAGGCCACTGGGATTATTGGATGATTTCACAGTGTATTGGAGGTAAAAAAAATCTTCCCCAAGTAACAATGATGATGTAAATATTTTGTAGAAAAACTAGTGCTACAAATATGATGAAAGAGACAGTTAAGTACTTCACATAGATAAGTATTTCTAACTAGTCTTCCTTTTTTGCAGAGAATACCATCTTAAATTCAAAGTGGTTTTCCTTTTTATATAATCCTGATAATAAAAAAATGGCATGGGACCTCACATGAGAAAACAAAGATTATATGAATTTTAGTCATTTTATTGTTCAAAAGTAAAGATTAGTAGACGCTACCTAGTTATGTTGCAAATACTGCTATCATTTACCCCTGGAATGGAAGTTATAGCCAGGACTCATAGAAAAACTTCATGGATTTGAAGGGCAACCCTGCTTTTCAAATTCCTCAGAGTTTCAAAATAAAATTAACCTAGGAAGTTGCAGGCAAATGAAGAGAAAATTCCAAGGCAACATGAAAGCTTCAACAGGGCTGATGCAGCCTGCAAACTGCCTAGTATCTGCCTTAAGAAAACACAGATTACAACTGGAAATCAAAATGCATGCTTCAAATAAGAAGAGTATAACCAAACTGTGTTCTGTGTTACAGTGTTATGGACGATGTGGGTGAAATTCAACCATATCAATTTGATTAACACTGTTTTGCTGGAATGAATTGCCCCTCCTTTTTGCAATCCAAATAAATGTGATCCAAAAGTTTGTACCCAAACATTTGTGGCACCTTCAAAAACATTGTCAGAGTAAAGGGAAATAATTTATATAAGTAAGACCTCAGTTATCTCTGCCATTATTAAGATAAAGTCTACTGAGTGAAGATTACTTGAGACAGCTGAGCTATCTAACCATTTACATCGGTGGATTAAAAAGAAAGAGGAAAAAACATGCAACATTTACCTCATCATCTGAATAACTATACGCTGATGACACTGCTCCCCACATCTTGCTCGCTACATTAGCTGCTTGTTTCATGCCAGATTTCAATACCTCTATTTTAGGTCCAGATAATATGTGGTCTAGCTTCAGCCCTGACAGAGAGGTGACAACTGCGCCCAGTGAAGCCTGAGGAGAAGAACGACCCAACCCTGTTAAAGATATTGACCGTTCTTTTTGAGCGCGTGAAAGAGCCAGTTGCTTTGGTCTTCCAGTAAAGGTTTTGGACCTGGAAACAGATGGACTTTTATGATTAATATTTTGAATCTGTGGTGGTGGTGGTAGCGGTGGTGGAATGGAATCCAAGCTTGATCTTCTCTCTAAACTGGGCTCTGATGAAGTAGGGGAATCCACATCCCGACTGCTCTCTTTCCGGTGTAATTCCATGCTGGAAGATTTGCTGCCCAAGGGACTTTTTAGATTCATGTAGCTTTCAATCTCCTCAGCCAGATTGCGTGCTACAACCGGCGACACGACCTTTTCTT